TCCCCTCCTCCTAATATTGAACCCATCCCACCACCCAGTAACAGTAAATATTCCATAATGTTCCCAAAACATGATACTGATATGCCACATGCGGGGGGGACGGTATTAATCCTGTGTGATGATCAGTATTTGGCTGCTGTGGAAATCGCTCAGGGGTACCTGTTTAGGGGTCCCCATAATTAGGGTGCATATTTGCGGGTAAATGGGGATACCAACAAGTTAGCGGAAGGTTCGTCCGGACAAGTATTAGTAGTCAGCATCTTAAATGAGACGTCTTCCAATGCGTAGTTTCCCAGAATGGGGGGACCCCAGTGTAGACCCCAATATACTACAATCCTTCTTAGGTTATTCAGCAATTGCAGTCCATTATCGCTCGTCTTTAATCTCTTCTAGATTACTCACTATTTGAGGGGCCAAAGCTTCCCAAACGCTTGATTCAGTGACTGACTGATGTCCGAGAATACTACAATCCTCATTATAAGGACACCCAAAATGGTACCCCTAATTTTGGGATCCCCAACTCCCCAAACCCCGATATAATCGCTGTTTCCATTTCATGTTTCATTTTCTTTTCCATTTGATTCTCCGTCATAACGGGATGATGCCTAAAGCCTGCATCCCCTCATCTAAACCCTAAACACATCTAAAGGTACCCCTCTGTATAGGGTTTAAAGCCCCAAGATCCAGGCTTACCAGGCAGTGCGCCGGGTGCTGCGGGAACAGCTGTCACGGCTGCTTGTCTAGCTGGAAATTTGTGGGGTCATTTGAGCCAGAGCCTACTCGGGTTTAGAGTTTAGGGTTTTGGGCTTGAATTCCTTCAAAGGGGGCTATATAGGGTGCTACTATAGATCATGTGAGTTATAAGGGGATTAGAAAGGGGAGTAATATAGGGGTTAAGGCGGTTTAGCCAATTTGGGATCATTTGAGCTAGAGTCCAAAAACAGTAAATCCTTACAGGGTTATATAGGGGAGCAATATAGGGCATATTAAAGGGGATACTAGGAGTTTAGACTATAGATCATGCGGCATTTCCCCTGCTGTTGCGCAAGGGAGCCTATTGTCCTCCTTAAGTAGATAGAATCTGGGGTGTATGGGGATCTTATTATAACACACCCAAAGCCATATTCTATCTGCTTCAGGGGGACTCTATTCACAAACGGTTTCGGGGGCCTGGAGTACCACCCAGCTGTTCTTGGATAGCATCTGGCTTGCAGAGGATGAGTGCGTGTGCCAGGGTTTAGGGTTGATCCGCCTGGCAGTCATCAAGTCCAGATTCAAAATGGTTTAGGGTAATTAATCTAGCTGAGCGTTGAACGCCAGCAAGATGGCTCCAGGATTCAATGCTGTTATCTTGAGGTAGAACCTGTGCGGAAACAGATGCGAAGGCATCGCGTGAACTAGAGCCACTAGAGGGCTAGAGGGCTAAGGATTCAATGTTTACATATGTATTTGCATACATAGACACAAGCATATGTGTATATATATATATAAATGTGGAACTAACATGGTAACTTCTGGAGGCTGTTTGGAGTCCCCCTGGAAGGGCTGCAGCCACTTGGCCGGCAATAATGCGTGAGGCATTGGCTGATGTCAGTTTGCTACGCTTCCGACCAGCCTTGCCTGAATGACACGCCTCTACCTGGGGGTTTCCCAAAATTAGGGGTACCTTTTTTGGGGGTCCCTATAACAAGGACCATAGTATTTTGCGGTCTATATTGGGGTCTCCCTATTTTGGGAAACTACCATCTGGGACTGCGCACCAAAGGCATGATATGACTTTCTTCTCCCACATCAACGGCAGCAAGACAGCCCAGACCACGCATGATGAGTATTGGCACTCTCACATTGAGACTTGGCAGTTCAAGGTGAATTGAGAAGGGTCGAGCGCAACTTGAAGATATTGTAACAGAAGCTTAGGTATTGGGTTATATAGAGTTTAGACGGATCCTACTGATGATGTGACCCCAATAGTGGAGGATCAAATGGAAAAGAACATAGAAAATGAAACGGACACTGGGTTTCTAAAGGGGGTGCCTTGCAACCTTCATGCCCAGCCCAGGACACAGAGCAGTATGGTACCTTCGCGTACACAGTCCTGCTCTACCTCAACACGGCAGATGATGACCGATGAGGGATACAAAAAGCATTGTGCCTGCAAAGACTGTTGTTGACGCAGCTGTGATGAAACTTGCCGCAGCTTCAGGGCTTCCTGAAGCATTTGAGTTGCATTTTCTCTTCGTGGAAGGGGATGGCTTCGCGAAAAACGAATACGAATCAGTCCATAAGATCAGATGGCTCTGAAGACTGCAAATATAGTGGATATAGGGTTGAGAGATTCTTAACATTACGGGGTCTGTTATGAGAGAGGTACCTCACAGGGCCAGTGGAGCAAGACACATGAGGCACGTCGGTTTTTGAAGCTCGGGACGGGAATTTCGCGGAAGGCTCGTGGAAGGTTCGCGGACGGCGGAGTGCAATTCTCATGCCCACGGACCGCGCAACTGCAAAAGGCTGCAAGCAGAACATGCCAGCAGCTTGTTGCCTTCATGCAGTTTATCCTCATCCTAGAATATTCCATGAGTAAAAGATTCTGTGAGGAAGCGACAAGGTTCGTGGAAGTATCAATTTGCAAGATGCATAAAAGCATGAGGATGCTCTGGGCCGCGGAAGAGCTTCGCGGAATGGATTTTTTGCATCATACGAATTCAAACAGAATAAAACCACCGCAAATTTGTCATGGCAGGTAACAAGCATTGCACAAAGCACTTCAGACGTCTGGCATTGACGAGGTGCTAGGTTGCCGTTGATGTTTTCTGTCATGGTGATGGTGCGAGTGCCGCTTGTGCGTGGACTGTCCACTGAGCTTGTAGCCTGAGTGAAATACTACTTAAACCAAAAACCCTTAATAGTAGTTTCCATTTTATTTTCCATTATCCCATTATAACCCCAATATATCCCCTATATAACCCCTTTAAAGGGATCCCGAATATACTATAGTAGTTTCCATTTTCTTTTCCATTATCCCATTATAACCCCAATATATCCCCCATATTCCCTATATATCCCTATATAATCCTTGTAGTTTCCATTTTAGTTTCCATTATTCCCTATTATAACCCTAAACAGGCTCCCGAATATTCCCCTATATGAGGACTTTGACGGCGGTGAGTTCATTTTCGAGGATGCCAGCTCCAGCTTCAAGTTCAGCATGTACATATGAGCTATAGTCTAAACTCCTTAAAGGGGGTTATATAGGGGTACTACTATAATGGGTTTATATAGGGATTATATAGGGTATATAATGGGGTTATATAGGGGTTATATTGGGATAATGGAAAATCAAATGGAAACTACTATAATGGGTAATATAGGGATTATAGGGTATATAGTGGGGACATGTACATATGAGCTATAGTCTAAACTCCTTTAAGGGGGGTTATATATGGGGATTTATATAAGGGACTACTATAGGGGTTATTAAGGGGGATACTAGGAGTTTAGACAATGGTACATATGCTGTTGAAAGCTACTACAAGTGAAATGAAGATGATTACGCAGAATGTCATGTGGAGGAGTCCAAAGGTAATGGCAACCTCGTACCAGCTGCGGCCGTTGAGCCCCGCGCTGGTAGGGTCGTTGCCTTTAGCAGCGACGCAGAAAATCCGCACAAGGTTCGACCTGCACTGCTTCGCGTAGAGACACACAGGGGTGAGGGCACTGTGATCTTCCAGCTGATGTTTGCGCTGGTCAGGTCTTCTGGTACGTAATGGAGCTGTAGTGGGTGAATGAATATCTTGTACTGCAAGTGCAGCTTCTGGATTTGTGAAGCTGTCCCTAGCCATTTCTGTGATGCTGTTGAGTTGTGACCTGGTGTGACATGAACAGTTCTCTGAGATGTGCTGGATTGTCCTGGACTGTTTCCGTGCAACAAGTATGATGAAGACGCAGGTGCTGAAGGTGTCTCGGGGTGTGCGCATGGCGCTGACTGCGGCCTTCACCTGCAGCGAACAGCAGGCACCTGCCCTATTCACGGAGCGAGGGAGAGCTGTGTAAAAGGGCATGTATCAGCACCTCACTTGGTGGTGTTGTCATCCTTCAACGCGCCTACATTCCGAAGCATAGTGGTTGATACAGGGAAGTCTGCAAACATGCCGCCAGGCTGCATCGATACAGAGCTTTCCGAATCCTGCCATGGTGGAGGCATCAGGAACAGCAGCTGAGTAGCCCACGCGCAGCACGCGCAGGCAGGCGAAGTTAAAACAATGTTGGAGACATCTTCGCGCCAAGCTTGCTTGCTTGCTTTGGATGCGAGAAGCTTGTGTTCGAGAAAGAGGCAGCTGAAAGGTACTGCAGCGGCGCACACCGCAGCAAGGCAATTTTGATTTCGTACTTGCAGCTGTGATGAGAAGGCTCTAGCTTTCCTCGATGTACCGAGCCACATCTTACTATGGCCCTTGCAGACCGTGATCTACACTCTAGAGCTAGGTCGCCATGCTACCCGTCGCCCACCATGACACATGTCCTGCATTCTTGTATAATAGGGTTTGGGTTAGGTGGACCCCCTACCCAGTAATAGTGACTATAGGGGATAATCGGGATTATATTAGGGTCCTGAAATATTCCTATTTACCAGTATTACAGGGTGGTGGGTCCTCCTAAACAATTTGCATCTATCCTGTCATCGTGGGTCGTGGACGCAATGGAAGCTTGGCCAGACCCTGGCCCGTCAGCTGCGGAACCCTTCCCCTGCAATTGGCCCACTTCCAGCCACGTGGCAGCATGTGTGCTATACTGCGGCGGGCGGAAAGTTCGTCGCACTGCCACGTCCTCAATCTGAACCGTGCTAACCCCTTCCTCAGTAGACTCCTCCACCAGCTCAAGGCTTCGAGTCCTGCAGGGTGATAATTCCTGCGCTAGGCAGGCCAGTGGAAATGAGCTTCTGGGTACTCCACGTCCTCCGCAATCTAGAAACATGTGCACGCGACAAAACTATCCGCCCGGCGATGTAGTCTAAACTCCTTAAAGGGGGTTATATAGGGGATTATATAGGGGACTACTATAGGGGTTATTAAGGGGGATACTAGGAGTTTAGACTCTAGCTCATGTGTGGGAGGTCTAACTTTCTGCCGTAACCCTGTCCCAGAAATGCATAGATGATTCATGTGAGGTTTAGATGTTTTCAGATTTCGTGATAGTAAGTGTGGCAGGCACGCCGAAGGCCATGATGTGTCAGCATTGGAAAAGCTCGTTCTTCGTGAATTTCCCTTTGACATGAGCACGCAAGAGTTGAAGTGATCAAAGACTGCGGACTGCGCCAACAGTGAGAACCAAGTACTTACTTGTTGTAAAGCAAAAGGTTTCCTGGCCAGGTTTGCTAGCAATGCCTGATGCTGTGAAGTGCGCAGGTGATTGCAGGAAGGTGCTCATTAAGTCAGAAAAAGGTGTTTTAATGACCTCGACGAAGGCTACGCATAGCCTGTTGCATGTCAATCGCTGCACAGCTGGGATTCGTCCAGTCATATGATTTCACGTCCTAAACATGCCATAGTTTGACCAGAAAGCATATGCGAGATCGCACACGAACGCTTAGGAACATGGTACCGCTTGGTGTTCAATCAAACATCAAGTCCATGCCCGGCTGCCTTGCAGACTTGCAAATCAACAACTTCAGCAAGGGGCCCAAACCTTCACATTTGATCCCCAGGTGGCGACTGTTTCGTCGACACACCTTGGCCTGCTGAGGAGCGGAAGACTACAAATTCTGTATGTTTCCCAAAATCAGGGGCCCAAGTATAGACCTCAATATACTATAATCCTTATTCTGGGAACGCCACAAAGGTATCCCCAATTTTGGGAATGTAGTTTGCTGAGCTGATCTTGCGTGCTTTGCCAGGGTCTGGCAGGCAGCTGGCCATCAGCTGTGAAGGCAAAATGGGCTTTCCCAAAATGAGGTTACAGAGGGATAATGGAAAAGGAAATTGAAACTAACATTTAGGGTTTAGGGTTTCCCAAAAGTAGGGGTACTTTAAGCTTTTTTTTTGGGGGGGGGGGTCCCCATAAAAGGAATTGACATATTTTGTGGTCTACATTGGGATCCCCTAACTCCTATATAATCCCTATACAATTCCTATGTAAACCCTGAATAGTAGTTTCCATTTTCTTTTCCATTATCCCAATATAACCCTGCAAAATACCCTATTATGATTTAGTAGTTTCCATAAACCAGCCTTGAGTTGCAAGTCCTTGGTTGCCAAGCTACCAAGAAGCAGGGTACCATAAGCGGGGTTATGTGGAGGACTATTGTAGGGCTCATTCAGCTAGAGTTTCCATTTCATTTTCAATGTTCTTTTCTATCTGGTCCTCCATTATTCTTGGGGTAATATCCCTATATATCACAAGACTATAGCTATACTCCCCCATAATCGTACCTATATATATGGTACTTTGCCTGAGTAAGGGAACCCCAATGTAGACCCCCTAAATACTATAGCCCTTATTATGAGGATCCCCAGAAGGTACCCCCAATTTTGGGAAACCCGCATCTCCCTTCCCCCATAATCAACCCTAAACCCTAAACCCTAAATTCACTCATGATATGGCATCTGTTTGAAGATCCTCCGTAGGATGCTTGGAGCGCTCCGGCACCGGAGTCTGCTGAGACAACAATCTCAGCAGAGGCAGGGCACTAAGAATCATAGGATTTAGGGTTTAAGATTTAGGGTTTAGGGTTTAGGGATTATATAGGGGATTAGATAGGTACTAAAATTTATATCTACTTTACTACAAGTACCACTTGTTATCGAGGAGTTGAAGCATGTGAAGTTGCCACTTACTAGCCAGGGAGACTCCGACGCCGACTGGGTTGCAGCTATCCGGGCTGCTTTGCCAGCGCCAGAGGGCGGATTTCCTTCACAGGCGGGATTCTCAGCAGTTCATACGGGTCTTCGCGTTTGTAACAGCTACATCTCTTGTCGCTTATCCTTCATGTCTTCTGGGTACCATGATGCCTCTGCACGGTTTTGAATTGCTTACGCTTGACTGAATGACCTGGAGCAGCCATGTGAGGCGGAGGTCTTTTCACTTCCCTGGCCAGCAACCCAAGATGTGGGGACAAGTCAGGACAGACCTCTA